GAAGGTAAAATTCAAAATTCTAAAAATTTTTTGATGCGATTTTTGAAATGAATGATCCAAATTAGCCGGTATACATATTTATGTATATTAAAATTTGTAGAATCAGTGGTAGAATTTTTGTACTGAAAGTGTTAAGAAAGCTTAAGTTTAAGAGCGTGATACCAAATGCCTCTCACCATGAAACGGCGCCAATTTTAAAAGATTATTGCGTCTCAGACTACGGCTAATAAAGCCCTTGGTCAGATATTGTGAAAGGTTGGACTATACCTTAAAAATTACTGTTTTCTCGCGGGCCACTGTAGAAGCTATGAGTAGAGTAAGGCCCTTTAATAACTTCAAAATTATCTTGGGTTATCAGGTCTCTAGCAATACAAGATTAATTGTTGTCTTTCGCGAAGTTCTTTAAATAAATTTTGAGCTGAATACTGAGGTATATTTATGAACATCACGTTTTATTTTTTACTTAAGTTTAAATACTTAGTATCTGCAAGTATTTTTTTAATGCATTCACCCGAATTTCGGGGGGTTATTACTAGTTTGTTTATAATCTGAATGATTTTCAACATATTATTATCATAAATCAATAACAGCAAGTCTCGCCTTCAATTTGGTAATTATTACGTGCCGATCGAGTAACATTTACCAAAGTTATATCGAAAAACTTAAGTGGATCTCCAGTTTTCTTCTAAAAAAAAATCTCTTCAATTTTATAAATAACCTTTAAATGAAAGAACCGGATTACAGAAAAGTATGCCAGGGAGTGACTATTTTCGTTCAAGCTGAATGCAAAGCAATATCGTCCAATTGGAGAGTCCTCAAGAGGATTTTCCAGGATATGTTAAAGACTATTGCATTTACCTACCTACAGTTACTTTTTCACATAATGGAATTAACTAAAATATTTATGTAAACACTTGTTGCACGTCTCCTACTTTCATATAACGGCAAATTTAGAAACCACGAAAAATGGACTTAAGATGGGCCCTAATTGTATTATGTTAATGTATGCAAATACTTATATTAATGCTTGCAACTACTATTAACTTGTCAAACGATTACTAAATTTAATAACCCTTAATTTGATATATCGTCCTGTTTATAACAATTAACGCATTCCATAGATATTACAAGCCAAAGTTTCATTTTCAAAATTCATACACTTTGATTCCATTGCGCGGGCTAAAGATAAGTTTTAAATTAATCTTTATTGGCCAATAATAATTGGCTTAGACCTTAGTCATCATAATATTACTATTACAATACGGTCAAATGCCTTTTATTTTCCCTCATACATACATACATATGTACATAAATATTCAAAAATAATTTTGTTGCAAAACCTTCAATACAAATCGAATTCGATAGCGTAAAAAAATATTCATATTTTTTGGACTTATCAAATTTTCTGTGACTACTTTGGACTTAGCAATTTTGCACATCACGGAATAAAACGGGTCCAAATAAAACAAGTAGTTAGATCCTTTCAGAAACGCTGCATTTTCAATATTCCTTGCTTCCTGCATCAAAAACTAATTGTTCATAAAAAGTGGACTTAGCAACATTTCACTCTAAGCTAGCGATATGTGTAAGCGCCAAACTATTATTATTATTTTATATGAATTTTACTGCTTTACTACTGAAACATGTATATGTTTAAATTCGTTGGGAATTATGTGGGATAAATTTTCAAGATGTGGGTAATTGAGGGATTTTTTCTCCATTTTCGTGGGATTTTTAACAGAGAATGTCTGGCATCACTGATGAGAAGAGAGTATAATATTCAGCAGCGCACAGGGAAGTATTTTGTTAAAATGCTAATGGTGCAGTTACATTGACCATTTCTTTGCTACTATTGCAGACTCTTTTTAATGCTAAACACTGTGGCGAAGTGAGAGAGTTATATGGACAAATATGAGCCACTATGATTCATTTGAATCATGTGAGCCCT